AATTGTTTCAAAGGACAGTGTAAGTTCAAATAATGTTAAGTTTTCTCTCTTTTTTTTGCAATTAAGCTATTTATTTATTTATTATTCTATAGCTAATTGTTTAAAAAAAAATCAAATACAAAACTAAAAAATCAGCATGTGATCAACTAAATTGAAATTATTTTATTTTCGTAGTAGCGAAATGCACTAGTATAAAGTACCTCTTTTTCTCTCGGTTTATCGAATATGCAAAAAAGACACTTTGATGATAAAGTTAATAATAACTTTCAGAATCAATTGATTCTCATCATCTAGTGAACGGCCAACTCAAGGAAATTCGGTACAAGTTTAAGTAGTTTTAAATTTAAATATTGATTAAATACATAGAGACTAAATTTGACTGTAGATAATCATCTTATCTAATTTGTACTGTACATTAAAAACATGATTTGAAATGAGTGCATTGATTTGTACATAGTACTTAAGTGGAAGAGGGTTGTAAGGGTCCTTGTCGGTGGCAGTGGGAAGCGATAAAGGCGAAAGTTAACAACAGAAGGCAGCTCTTTACACAGTACCATGCAAACATGCCTTTCTCTTCTGTGCTGTGGCAATATGCCAATATCAATATCAATATGCTTACGGTTTTGACTCATTCCCATGTGTCGCTTCTTCATTTGGACTACCAACAAGGACCACGCACACTCTCTCCGTTCCAACTTTCAACAACACATCCACAATTTTCTATCGCATAACATACATATACCATTAAGCAACAACTTTTCTACCTATACGTTTTTCTGTATCCACGTTAGTAAAATAAGATTATAAGAATTAAGAAATTAGACATTTTGTTCCTATAACAAAATAGAATGTTGAAAAAGATAGAATATTCTCTCCGTGTGTATCCAGTTCCCAAATGGGTGGGAAAAAGAGGCGGAAAAAAAAAATTGTAATTCACTTCTTTGGCCTTGGGTAAAATTACAAAATAAACCCCATGGGGGTGTTGCTGTTTTTTTTTTTTTTTTTCCTCAAACGATCAAGCCGAGAGAGTCAAACGGCGCTGGTCAACGGCTGTTTGTGGCCGTCCATCACTTCATCGTCAACCAACGTCAGTAACTGGGCCCGATGGGCTTCAAAATCCCAATCGGTGGTCCCAATCACGTACAACATAAGTCCCGCGCAACACACCTGGGCCGAGAGCAGGCCCAGCCAAAGCCCACAGAACCCAACGTCGAACCAGAAGCCAAGCCCAACCGCCACGGGCATCCCCACCAGGTAGAACGCGCCCAGGTTCACATTCGCCGCCGTGTTCGGCCGCGCCGTCCCCCTCACCACGCCGCACCCCACCGTCTGCGGGCAGTTTCCGAGCTCGCAAATTCCGAGAATCGGCAGCGCCATGGACGTGATCCTGATAATATCCTGGTCGGCGGTGAAAATCCTTCCCCAGCGGCGCCTCATTCCGACAGCGAAAAACATCGCCGAGAATCCCATGATCGCGGCAATGAAAAGCGAGACGAGCGCCGATAACCTGGCCCTAGAAGGACGATTGGCACCGAGTTCATTCCCGACGCGAGTGGAAACCGCGAAACCGAGCGAAGAGGGGAAGACGTAGATGAGCGAAGTGGTCTGAATGAGAATCCCCATGGAGGCAACGGTGGCGGTGGGGTCGAGCAGAAGGCCGCACAAAACGATCATGATCTCGTACCACCACCACTCCAAGCAGACAGAGACGCAGCTCGGCGCGGCCAGGCGCAGCAGCGGCTTCCACCCGGCTAGACAGTCTAGGCTGGGCGCGGCGCAGCGCGAGCCGCTGAGGCTGACGTGGAGGAGGAGGAAGATGATTATGGAGATGTTGGAGGCGGCGGAGGCAGCGGCGACCCCGGCGATCCCATGGCCGAGGCGCGTGACTATGATATAGTTGAAAGGGAAGTGGAGGAGTGTCCCGAGGAGCGACGCTAACGTGACGGGGTGGGTGACGCCCTGCGCGCGAAGGTAAATGCGGATTGGGTGGAGGAAGGAGTGGGTGAGGAGGTCGGGCAGGGAGAATATCAAGTAGGTGTGCGCCATCCGCGTGATGCGAGGGTCCTGGTGCAAGCGTAGGAGGATGTTTGAGATGTTGAGCCAGAGGAGAGAGATGGGGATGGAGCAGAGCAACAAAAACGTGACGCATCGCTGCAGAGTCAACGACAAGAGGTTCAGGCGTTTGGCGCCGAAGGCCTGCGAGCAGAGCGGTTCCATCCCCAGCGCCAGTCCCGACAGCACCGAGTATCCTGTGATGTTCGCGAAAGCCATTCCTAGGGACCCTCCCGCTAGCTCCAACTCTCCCAGCTTTCCCAGGAACAGCATCGACATCATCGAACGCGCGTACAATATTAACGCCGTTACTGCTGTTGGACACGCTATCTTCGCCACCTCTTCCACTTCTCTCCTTATCCCCCAACCCTCTCCTTTTTCCTTTTCCTTTTCCTTTTCTTTTTCTCCCTCCATCAACTTGTATTCTCCTTCCTCTCTTTTTGATCCCATCCCACCTTCCCCTCTCCACTAACTCACTTACTCACACTCCAAACACTAATGATAGGTTGATAGATACACAAAACTAATTACCACAACACCGCTAGGTGAACCATGTATAAATAGATACACACTTCATCTGTCCTACCTTCTCTTTTAATTTTTACATCCCAAACACAATTAAATATTAAATATATCCAAGGTTTATGTCATGTCCTGTTGTTACATGCTTATTCCTATTATTTTCTTTCTTCTTTTAACCTATATCTTTTTTCACATAACTTCGATCATACCTTTCCAATCTCATTTTGAAATTAAGAAACAACATATTCCATGTCATCATACATATATACAGACGTTTAATATCACAATAATTACTAATATATATTTAAATACGTGGGAATGTCAGTGTATTCTATGGGGGAACAATTTCCGATAACGGAAGTCTTATTTGTCTTGCGATAAATGCTGCTCGTTTCTTCACCATCTTGGGTAACTGGTTTCAAATACACAAAAAACTTCTAATTCATTGCGTTGAGGTGCAATGCAATTACTTGAATCAAAGAATTCTTCAAAAAGCATTAAAGCACTGCATTACTGACAAAGGTGACATTCATCATTAAAGCATAATACACGTACGGCTTATATATATAAGGTTCTAGCAAAAGCATTTGACTTTGCTCCACTAATTATATTCTTAATGTATTCATCAAACCTAAGAATGCTCTTCTTGACTTTCATTATTTCAATTTTCAATTGCTAACAATAAATACATTAACTCTTTTTTGACAAGTCAAACAGGAGTTAATGTATTTATTGTTACGATCGAAATAATACATTAACTCAAAAACGCATGCCATCCAGCTCATATAGTAAAAAATAAATATTCTTGTACGAATTTGGCTATTTTTTTTAATATTTTTTTTTACTTATTTTTTTTAACAACAACAAAATTAAAACTTAAAATATTACTCAAATTCCTTATTATTAAATGGATCATAGTGGTTTGTTTATTTTACTTATTGATACATGAGTGTTTGGATGATTATCTATTCAAATTTAATCAATTAATTCTACCTTTGGTCAAACTTGAATTCAGAATTTAATAATTATTTTTTTAATTTTCAAAAAATGAATCTACATTAAATATTTATTAAACTAATCTAAAGTTAATGTGCACTAATTAATACATGCATTTTCAAAAAGGGGAAAATATGACCAAACATTAAATAGTATTTGACCAGTAAGAATTTTCTCGACTGAGACAAATTAACTTATATTGTACCACAAAATTAGTCAGCATTATTATGCTTTTAATTTTAATGGTTTGAATTATCTTAATTATTTTAGAAAAGTCATTCAATGCTTTTATGTTTATAATAAGGCGCTTAATATTTACCCTTTTTTATTTTTTAAAATTGGTAGTGGTAATTAAATAAATTATCTATCTCCCTCGCAATTAGTCCACTCTTAATGCCATATATTTTTAAATACGAAGAAGCAGCGCCATTCTTTGTTTAATCATCACGTTAGATTTGATTTTCAGGTCAAATTTCCATGCTAGATAAAATTTTGCGGTTATACAAATAATTTTTGTTTAGGTCAATCTAACACGTAGGTATTAAAATAGATAAAGGAAAGAAGAGATTAGAGGTAGTATTTAGTGGGTAATAAGATATTAGTTGACTTGATGAAGTATGTTTTGTTTGATTTGATAAAGGAGAGAGGCACACGTGGAGTTGGAGACCACAGTCCACAGACATTATTCTTCATAGCATCTGAAAGTGAAGTACTTGTTGGGTCCTATGCAGAATTGGGCTAGCAGCAAAAGGGTTTAAAAGTGGAAACTGAGAAAAGGGGTTTAATTTGGAAAAGTATGATTAAGGATGTAGAGAATTAAGTGTAAGAAAGGTTTTGGATGTTGAAGTTGGGTGATATGATATATGCACATGGGTGCGTGCGCAATTGCCGGAGGCTGCACAACAATCCGCTCCCATATTCACAAGCAGATGGTTGGAGGGAAACATCCCTCATAAGAATTCGCCATGTAGTACTACTTAGCACTTAGCAATTACTACTTACTTTGCACTGTGTTTCTCTTTCTATCTGTCTCTGTCTTGTTGAGTTGTTGCTATTAAGTGTTATTGTCGCATCCAAATGTGCATTTCTGTGTGAGAAGAGAAGAAATGGAAAAGCCTGAACAAATAACAATAAATTAAATTGTAGGGAATGTAAGAGGTGGACAGAAAATATACATATATATATATATATATATATATATATATATACTCCTTCGTTATTTTAGTGATTAATTCACAATACATATCTATTAATTTTTTTATATTTTTTTTTCATTTGTTAGATATATGTGCTTGAGAAGTCTGGATCCTCAACCTAAGAGTCATGACACTGGTATCTAATGTCAAAAACAATTGCATGCAGTCCCCACCAGCAGGTAGCCCCATCTGACAGCTCTAAGAGTCTCACATATGGGAGGCAGTGGCACCACTTCTTCTTTTTGTTTTCTGCCATTGGGGGAAGCGTACACTACATAATGCAGTGTTTGTGTTGTGTTGTGCTTCATTGTCTCGCTGCCCTACACAGGACCCAGTGGCCACATAATGTCACGTAAACTATTTAACATCTTCTGCTTCCCAATTCAAACATCTATGCATGTCTCTTTAAAACAACCTTTTTAATTTTCTCTCTCTTTGTTTTTTTTTTTTTTTCATGACACGATGCCAACCTATCTTTGGTTAGACATTTACTCCGACCACTTCCCCAGTCTGTCTATATATATTATCTCTTATCTCCACCCTCACACTTAAACACATTAACCTTTCAATTTTTCACCTGCACACTGAAAATATATAAATAATTCTTCATATAAAGTAACTATATGTTAGAAAAAAAATCTCCTCCTAACTGAATCACCTAAACACCAAACTACCTTATGTACAAGACTAAATTAATTGTATTTTTCTCTCCCTATAACATCTATATATAAGTGATTTTAGTCTTTTAATTCTTAATTTTACAATTTTATTATTTTAGTTTTATAAATTTAATCGTTAAATGTTTATGCATTAAATATTAAAATTATAACATTAATTATAATTTAACATTAAAAAATGATATGACAATTAATATTTAAATTAAATTATATTTTTAATCATTATATTATCTTGTCTTCATCTCTTTTTGTCATTTTTATAGAAATAAAAATTGATGATTAAATGTGAAATTTAGTCCAAATCCAGGTCTTGTAATCAATATTATAATCTTCAAGATAATTAAATGAATAGTGAATGGTTGAACTTACATCAAAATTATAAATTTTTTTAAAAATAAAAAGTGCTAAAATTATAGAATTAAAAATTTAAAAATCAAATCACATATTATATATTATATAAAGATTAAAAGTATAATTTTATACATAACATATACAAACACACTACACAATAAGTGTAAAACAAAATAATTTATATGGTTTGACATTTTTTTGTCTCCATATGAAAACGTCTGAAAAGTGTTTTCACTCTTTTAAATATTATTATAAAAAATGTAACTCATCCCAGATACAGTATATATTATTATATGTATGTGAAGCTTAATATCTTTATACAAGAGTTATAAAAAAATAAGTAAAAAATTAAAGGTACAGGAATGAGCGTAGTTGAAAGAAGCGATGATTTTATACCCACTCTTGCAGATGATTAAGGGTGTATTTGGTATGATGAAAAAATAAGTAAAAAATAAGGAAGAGAAAAATAGAGAAGATAAAAAGAGTGAAAATAAGAGTCTTTGATTTAAGAGAAATAAGAAAGAAATTAATAGGGAAGAGAGAAATAAAATAATAAATAAATAATTATTTTAAATTAAATAAGTTATTAACATTTTGATTTAATTGATTATATCAATAAAAACAGATGTTTTTTTTTTACTTAAATGATTGAATCAAAATTTCAATCAATTAAAACTATATTTATATTTGTATATCAATGAAAAAACTATTAAAAAAATCGATTGGATCATTTAATCAATTATTTTCTATTTAATCTCTCAGCATTGTTCATTTTTGTTGTTTTGCTTATTTCGATTATCCTTTCTCTCCTCCTTGGTTTTCAATGGCACCGAAATGATGAAGGCTAAATTATAAGCACGTTTTTTAATCATTTACAAAAAAAATTTGCTAATAATTGGACAGAAGAAAGTTGTTATAAAAATATGAGTAATAGAAAGAAAAATGTAAAAAAAAATTATGAATTATTATCAGTGATGAACCAAAAACTTTAGATAGTGAGAGCAATACTTATTCATATATTTATAGTATTAGAAGTTTTACATATAACTTTAAAAAGTATAAATATATATAATAATTTTTTACAAACTTTTATATCTACATCTATAATTAAATATAAAAATAAATTAGGTCAGATTAGATTATATTATAATTTAGTATGTTTGTACCTAATTTGTTTTAGAAATATATATTCTAAATATGACTTATTTATTTGTAATAAATATTTTTTTAAATATTTAGTTAAAACTATGATATTAAAGACTTACTTTATAATAATTTGATATTAATAAAAATATAAAAATAAATATGTTAAATTTTATAAAAATCAAGCTTAATTTATTTATGATATAAACATGTTTTAAATATCTAATATATATTTTTAGATGATAATTTATTTTAAAATATATTTTATAATAAAAAATTTAAATAGAACATAAATCTTCTGATCTTTCTTATTTTAATTTTTTTAATCGTATATAATAAATAAAAAATTCAAAAGGTAGACATACATGCTACAAAATTTATTTTATCAAAAATTGATTTTTTTAATATATTACATTATATATGTGAGTATTAATATATATATATATATAAATAGTTATAATAATGACTTAGTTTTCTCAAAATATTTATTATAACAAACTATCATAAAAATATATATTTCTCTAATAAATATTATACAAAATATTTTTTACAAATATTTATTA